GCAGGCTGGTTCTGGTCCAGCGGGGTATTCCGGGACACCAGCGGCACCGTCTGGGCGGCCCGACGGGCTGCCGTACCGAGACGGCCGACGTTTCAGAGCCTTCGATTCGCCTCGAAGGCTCCGTCGGCTGGGCGTCCTTGGGGTGAGCCGCGCCGTCTGGTTGTAGTGTTGACCGCGGTAGCCCCCCTACCTCATCCGGCTTCTGACCTCGGAGGGGATCGGACGTCGGGTGTAAGAGTGCAGGGGAGTCGTTTAGTGGGTGGTTCCTAAAATCCTTGGGCCCGCGGTCTGCTCACAACACCATGCAGATCGTTGAGTCTCACATACCCCGCGCGCCCCTTTTGCGCGGGGACCTCGTAGGAGGTTCGGCGTTCTACCCGAAAAAAAAAAAAAAAAAAAAGGGATTCGAACACCGGTGCATCGCTAAATACGAATGCACTGGACGCCTTATCCTTTAGGCCACGATGACCTAACGTTGCTCGAAGCGAACACCTCAATCCCACATTGTTCTGTGGCGTACAGCACAAACGTGACAATTGGGATTCTCCTCGCAAAGCAAAGAGTTTATATTATCGTCTTTACGTAAAACTTATGACCAAATTTCCTGCTGTAAAAAAGTATTCTTTTTTGTATGCGTGCGTCATCGCTTTACAACTACGGCCCTGGTAAAACGTTCATATTTATCGTCGGCACGGCTAACACATAAATGATATTAGAATAACAAATTTGACACCACTTTGAAGAAGTGATTTGAACGCGACAGTAATAACACGGCGGTAATAGAAAAGTAGGTTATCTGTGAACTATTTTATTTGGAATATTAATAATTTCGTTTTTAAGTTTGATACGTTTTGTAAAATACGAGGGCGGCACTGAAAATTTCGGGAATTAACGAAGTGACACAACATTACTATTTAAAAATGTATTTATTGCTTTTCGAAGTATTTTCCGCGAAATTTGACACATTTTCCATACGATGGAACCAATCATTGAAGCAACCATTCCATTCGGAAGTTGGGTTCTCCAAAAGCGCCGTTTTGTAGGCGTCCACAGCTTCTTCAGGTGATGAAAATCTCTGTCCACGCAATTTGTTATTTATTTTAGGGAAAGTATAGAAATCATTAGGGCTTAGGTCGGGGCTGTACGGCGGATGGTCTAATAATTCTATGTTGTCTTGCTCTAAAAACTCTTTTGTTCTGTGCGCGGTGTGAGAACTCGCATTGTCGTGATGGAGGATGATGCGGCGGTTGCAGTTCTCTTTACGGAGTTCAGAAACGACCCGTGGCAAACAAATGCTAGCATACCATTCTGCATTAACCGTTCTTTGTCCCTCAAGAGGAATAGTCGTAACATGGCCGGTTTTGGAGACAAACGTGGCCACCATTTTTTTGCAACACTCCGTGAACGAACAATTTTTGTTGGCTTTAACTCATTTTCGAACACCCAAACTCGTGACTGGTTTTTTGTTTCCGGTTCGTACGCGAATCTTTCGAGAGTTCTGACGCACCAAGTAACGCGAGCCGCTTTTTGCTCTTCACAGAGCGAATGCGGTATTCATCGGGAAAACAACTTTTTTACACCTAATTGTTAATGCAAGATTATTTGTATTTGACTCATGCCAATGTCTAAAGTTGCCTGAATTTCGCGGTATGTCATGTCGATCTTCCCAATCAGCTTACGCACAGCATCAACGTTTTCTTGGGTGACTGCAGTTTTTGGACGACCTTGACGGGGATCATCACTGAGCTTGACACGTCCACGTTGAAACTCAGCAAACCTGCGATAAATTGTGGCTTTGGATGGGGCTTCATCACCAAATGCAGAAATCATCCGGTCAACACACTGTTTTTGTGTTAAACCACTTCGAAAGTCATAATAAATCATCGCTCTTGAATTTTCTCGAGACAATTCCATTTTCTCAACGACTAAACAAGTTTGACAAAACCTCGTGACAAGACCGAGAATCTTTTTTTAAATAAATAAATGGTATTCGATTTTTAAAACCAAGGAGTTTTTAATTAAAAAGATTTTAATATGACAGGAACAGTGGAAATATACCATTCCCGATACTTTTAGTGCAGCCTAGTATGTTTATTGAGTAATTGATACAAAGTCCGCCACGGACGTGAATAACATAATAACTCAGCGTGATAAAATTAGAGAGCGGAATTTTCCATTATTTTTTTCTTCATATTACTCATATTACGTTAATGGTTGTCTACACCGGTAACTTAGCTTTAAAAGTTTATCAATAATCACTGTGCGCGGCTTCGTTTGTATTAGAATTTATATCATCATCAATAATGTATTGATGCAATAAGACAATTTTATCTTCAAATTGGTTAAATAGATTTTGATGTATAAAAACTAATTGTATTTTAAATTACTCGATTGGATTTTCCGAAATTATAAATAGCCCCTCTGCTTTTCGTGCCGACTGTTTATGGTTATATTTGTTATAAACTTTCAGGAAATGGGGCTTATTCCGTACATGCATTCTACGGACAACGTCACTTGGTTCGTTAATGATTTGTGTTCGCGAATCATCGCTCAGACTGGTATCCCGAATGACCGATATCATTTCGGCAAATTGCTATTGCAGAGTTTAAAAGATGACCCGGATTTCGTTTTGCTGGTAAAACAATTTATGTTATATTTCACGGATAACACTGCCAGTTGACGAGATGTCTTTACTGGTACAGTAGGCTGAAATGAGCGACCATCCTCCCTGTTTCTCCTCGGCAAGTAACTTAACCCATAGACACAGCCCACTAAGTTTCTCAGTGGATCGCGTTTCCGATCTGGTCGTAGATTCTGCGAAGCACTGCTCTTGCTAAGGCCAGTATTAGTAACACTCTCGATTTGTGCCCGTGAGCTCACCTACACGCCAGGGTAAAGCTGATATAGCCTCTCAAGGCTATCAGCATAGGTAAGGGGAAAAAACGCAGTTTCTGTTGCGAGTAAGTTATGCGCTCCGTTTGGAATGCTACGTAGATTCAGTCGCGAAGCAGCTGCTCTCAAGTTGTTAGGTCTCCTTTGAAGTCGATCGGGCTGTTAACAAATCCCATCTCTCCTGGCTGAGCTTTAGCTCGCCCACCTATCCTGGTGAAACTGGAAAGGCCTTCGGGCCACTAGTAAGTGCTTCTACCCTAAAAAAAAAAGAATGTACGACAGTACATAATATAATGCAATTGAGGCTTCAAACACAAGTCAGCGTGCAAAATTTCTGTCCATTAGCGACGACAACCAGAGCTCATTAAAAAATCTCTAAGCTCTTCATCATCATCATCATAATCGGTTGCTCTTCGCAGAGCAGTCGTGGTCATGTGGAATTCTTGCTCATTAAAGCCTTGACAGATGTTTTCCACAGTTTGAGAACCGAGGCGCACACACTCGTTAAGTGGGGTTTCAGTAAGGTCTTTCACCTGATCAGTCCAACGCATGGGGAAGCTCTTACACTATTCAATATGAAAGGACAGAGTGATATGCAAGCCCATGATTTGTCGATGATTGGGCGACCGTCGGTCTAACGATCCAAGACATTATATCAATAGGCGGCAATCTAAACATTTCAAAGATAATATAAAAAGTATGTGTGCAATAGTTAATTATACCTTATACTTATTTAGGGGACAATTATTAGGAAATATCTTGCTCTTGCGTAACCCGTATTGTTGTTTATAGTGGCGTTATCATTCAAAATGTTGTCTGTTTGTTTCGTTATTATGGCAGTTTGCTTATCTTAATTAGTTTGAGATTGTCGTGTCCATTCTTAACAAAAGTGTATTATTAAGCATTGAGCCGAAAGTACAACGTCTAATTAAGCTACACATTTTTATTTCATTATATTATTACTGATGGTAGGACCTCTTGTGAGTCCGTACGTGTAGGCACCACCACCCTGCTTATATCTCAAGGTGGGTGGCGCATTTACTTAAGGGGGTGTCTATGAGATCCAAAAAAAATTACAATCGTATTATTTTTCTTATGAATAGTTTGAATGATAAGCAATATAGAAACGAAAGCAGCTAGACTGATTTGTTTTTGGGTTGTATTCGTAAATCTTGCTCGATTGGTCTTTAGACCTTGTAGCATTTAGGTGTTGTGATTTGAAATCTTTTAAGCTTTCTTTGGAAAGTCCACGGGAAAATAATCTACTCATATCGAATGATGCGACAACATAACATTGTGTAATAAACCCGAAAATATTATAATTTGTATAAATGCCGGGCATCTTGTGAACTCGCCCGGGTGGTTATTACCGCCAAGCCTATTTCTGCCGCGTAGCAGTAATGCGTTCCGGTTTGAAGGATGGGGCGGCAGTAGTATTAAAGAACTGAGACTTAGAACTCATGTCTCAAGATGGCTTTTACGTTGTTGATGTCTATTTAACAACCTAACGCTCATCTAAGCAATAAAAAAGGCCGAATTAAAAAGTATTTTCTTAGCCTGGCGACCCTGTTTCGGTTACTAATAGTTCAGTAATTATAGGGGGTTGACCTCGGAAAATTGACCACCACTTAATAACTTGTATTTTGGCATCCTAAAACTATTCTCAAAATTCACATACAATTGGATGGTCGCAAGTTTTAAACTCAGGGCTCAAAAATCACAAAATCGTTTTTTTTTTATAATTTTTTTGCAAATANACAAAATCGTTTTTTTTTTTATAATTTTTTTGCAAATATCTCCTTTTCTATGGATTTTACGCTATTTGCATTTATTATAAATAAAGAATTTAATTATCTACACTAGCTTTTCTATTTAACATTCTCTATAACTTGAACTGTTTTCGAGATAGTGGGCGTAGAGCGCGCGGTCGGAGAATTACATATTTGAAGTCAACTGGTATTATTCCCGATCAAAACCTCGTAATATTAAGTTTATTTATTGCTAAATATATAATTAGGTTTTTGAAAAATGATTTTTTTTTTTGTGATAAATGGAAAGATCATAAATATTAGTTTTATAACAAAACTATATTTTTTTTTCGCAATAATTCAAAAGTTATTTCAAAATAAAAAGTAATTTTTGAATCTAGTACCGAAGACACGCCGACAGCTCCCGTACAAACGCGAGCGCGTGTGACGTCATCATTTAGAGCCCATAGACATCTACGACGTAAATGCGTCACCCACCTCGTTCTTGTTTTGTACCATTATGCATGAATACTACAAAAACATTTTTTTTATTTTTATTGCTTAGACGGGTGGACGAGATCACAGCCCACCTGGTGTTATGTGGTTACTGGAGCCCATAGACATCTACAACGTAAATGCGCCACCCACCTTGAGATATAAGTTCTAAGATCTCAGTACAGTTACAACGGCTGCCCTACCCTTCAAACCAAAACGCATTACTGCTTCACGGCAGAAATAGGCAGGGTGGTGGTACCTACCCGTGCGGACTCAAAAGAGGTCCTACCACCAGTAAAAATTTATATTGAAAATGTCGAACCTCAAAAGTTATCGTATTTTTTTTATTTTTTTTATTGCTTAGACGAGTGGATGAGCTCCCAGCCCACCCGGTGGTAAGTGGTTACTAGAGCCCATAGACATCTACGACGTAAGTGAGCCGCCCACCTCGTATTGTTTTGTACCATTATGCATGAATACTACAAAAACAATTCCTGAAAAAATGTTTTTAAATGTTTCCCAACATGACAATAGTCGACATAAATGATTTCAAGCTGTGCACCGTGATAATCCCAAAACAAAATCGATTTTTTTTTTGTTGTGAAGATAATTTCTACGTAAGTATTTCTTAACCGCTATTAATTATTATTTATCTAAGTATACAAATCAAATAATTATTATGTACTCAGATAGAGGTTCAGGGAATATTTTTTTTAACTGGACTCCAAATCATTACCTATAAAACTATAAATAAAAAATAAAAATTATTGCTTATGTAATAAATTCATGTATCTTTATCTAATGATTGGAATTCAATTTGATATATTCATAATTTTATAACGTTCGAGGTTATGTATTTGACTAGATTTTTTTTTTTAAACTTTATGTCATAGTGGCTGTTCTGTTGTTATAATAACATGGAAAATTATATTTATCACTAGCTGACCCGGCAGACTTCGTAGTGCCTCAATCGATAAATAAAAGACCTAAGCTTTTGTATAAAATAAACTTAAAACAAACAAAAGGAATCCGTCCGACGGGGAACACATCAAAGGATAAAACAAAATTGTTATTTTTATTTAATTCCGTATCTACCTTTTAAACCTTCTCTGGACTTCCACAAATAATTCAAGTCCAAAATTAGCCAAATCGCTCCAGCCGTTCTCGACCCGCTTGGGACGTGCAGCGCCGTGTCCTGGTCGCAAAGATAGGACCTGACTTGTCGCTGCCTGGCGTCGTGGCATCGATGCTTGGCGGCGATGAGTCCTGGAAAAAGCTATGCTCGACTTCTGCGAGTGCACCATCTCGCAGAAGGAGGCGGCGGGGCGACTGAGGCAAAGCTCTCCTCACTACGCAGAAACCCGCCGCCGCCGAGCAGGGGGTCGGGACCGGGGTCGTATCCGTGACCTGGCCCCCTAAGAGCTAGGGGTCCCACCCGTTTTGTGCGGGGAGAGACCCAGACGTGGGGTGGCGTGCTTTGCACGCTCACCCGCAGTAGGAAGCCGGGTGATGGTAGACCGCGTTCCCCCGACCGCTCTGGGGGAAGGTGTAACGCGGTGCCATCAAAGCGGGCTCTCGGCCCGCTGAATGAGGCAACCGGTGGTCGTGTCGCTGGCGGCCGCCGGTCCGGCGTCCGTGGGACGGTGGGATGGATGTAATGTGCTCTGCGTCAACCCTGTCCCGCCATCTCAATAGCCCCGACTGGGCTCCGGCCCGGTCCGAGGTAGGGCGCCGGTTGTGAGCGGCAGGAGTTTTTAGTGAGGTTCAACTCCCACATACTCCACCTGCCGCGCGGGTGGAGATCCGGCGATTTTCTACTGTGGAAAAAAAAAAAAAAATGCCGTTCTCGAGTTTTAGCGAGACTAACGAACAGCAATTCATTTTTATATATACCTAGATAGAAGATACAAAGATGGGAGGTAAAGCGGAGATTAAAATGATGTGGTACCACACAAGTTTGACTGTCAATCTAATCGTAAAAGACAATGCACTACAACGGTCCTTAGATCAGCTGCAGAAAAACGACGGAGACAACAAATCAAAATTCAAATTTTTTTATGTGAATCGTCAGAAAATATGGAAATTGATATTCCTCAAGAACTAAACATTGATGCCGTATCAGCCAATACTGTTGAAAATATTGGTGTTGATTTTGATTAATATTATCAGACTTTGTCTTAAAAAAATTTTTTAATTTTTTTTTTTAAACATTTATTTTAGAAAAAATCCATAAAATAATAATAATACAATAGTAAGCACACAAACAGTTCAACAATACAAATAGAAAATAAACAATATACTAATTCAATTAATTAAATATACAAAGGAAATGAATTAGAAACACATAATTATATCAATACAGTAGTAACCACTCTATGTCAATATTAGCTATCATTATGTCAATCAGTCAATTAATTTGGAGAAAAAAATAAAATAAAAAATTTATAAATCCTTTATCACACATAGCTAATCGTAACCAACTAACAACTCGTTTCTTAGCAATAAATTTTGAATATTATTGTCTAGTCACGTGTATTAGCCGTAAACGCTGTACTGTTATTAAGTTTAAGTAGCTATAACATTATGACGTCACAACTATGGTGACCAAACATGGCGCGTTTATAGGTCACGTGATTTCTTTAAATTCTATCAATTTTTAATTCTTGATAATTAATGGGAATTTTTATTTTTATCTTTTGCATTAAATATCCATATTATTTATAATAAAGTTTTAAAATACAATTAAAAATCGATAATTTTATTTTTCAAAATCCCAATTATCATTTTTTTACTGCAGCATTTGAAGAAGAAAACTGTCCGGTTCAGAGATTATTTAATTTTGAGAGTGGAATTCACCTAATCAGGAGATGTATGGAAATGGTAGTGCAAGGTAGAGGGGGAAGAGGTCGACCGAAGAAGACATGGATGGAGTGTGTGAATGACGATATGAGAGAGACAGGAGTGACTGTTGAGATGACCGCTGATAGAAGAGAATGGAAGAGAAAAATTTGCTGTGCCGACCCCACCTAGTGGGATAAGGTGGAGAAAAAAAAAGAAGAAGTGGAATTCACATAATTTGGCCTAAAATGACTGGACTATAAGCCAAATTCATAATATGATTGTTTTGTCATTGAAGTTGGTTAGAAATTAGAAATGACATTAAGCCCGTTCTGTTACTTAGACAGACACAAGCCAGATTAACAAAAGCGTGTTATAAGACTGTGATTTTGCTGCTTGATTCATAAAAGTGAATTCATTTTCAGATCGACGGAGCGACAGGTCAATCCGAAACAAACAAATCAGTGTCGGAAAGGTCAATACAGTGTGCCGTTTCCTTGACCGAGCTTGGACTAAAGAAAGGTGACGTCATCGTCATTATGGGATACAATCATTTGGACTTGACAATACCACTATACGCTGCCTTGTATTTAGGAATTATAATTTTTAATGTCAGTATGGAGATGACAGACAGTAAGTACCTACTATGAACGTATTTTTCGTACACGTACATAAATTGTGACTAAAGCACACGATTTTGTGTGTACCGACTGCCCGAAAAGTAATGAGGCGTTATTTTTTATTATTATTATTACATTTTGACTTACGTCAAGTACCTGCGCGTTTGGGTTCCACGATCCTGCATTCCGCAGCCAAGCAAGCAACGAATTCCGGTTTGAAAAGGATCAATTGGATCAATTCTGTGCATCTATGAGACACTGATATACGTTTACTGTTGGAAGGGTGATGAACTATTCTGACCATTACAAATATTAAGAAAGAACACATCCTTCCTTCTGTTCTGCTTCGGTATATCCTTCCTAGAACGACTAAATGGGTCGCAGTAACGAAAAATAAATAAATTAGGAGAATATTTCATAAGTATTCGGAAGATCTGTTTTGAATATACATAAGCATGTGTGTAGTTTAAAAACCATTTGCAACAAAAAGCAACTTATTCACATAACAATATCCCAATGTCATTACAACGCTCAAAGATTGCCAAACGTGAACACAAGTGACCGACTTAAAAAATAGTGATCTTTGTGCTTCAAAACTACAGAAGCAGCTTGAGTTGAAGCTAAAGTTGAATGTTAGATCTGAGCATCTGGCTGGTGTTCTGACCACGGTGCGCTCGCCTCTATGCGACCCGCAATTATGAGCTTCTCTAATTCATATCTGGGAGACCGCATGGTGCGTCCGCAGAAGCTGATAACACGTTCCCGGCAGACGGAAGAAAGCCTTTTTCGGTTGTTTAGCTCCCTAAGAATGGACTCGTTAGTTCTCATGGCAGTCCACGGTATTCGTAGCAATCTCCGCCACACCCACATTTCAAAGGCGTCGATCTTTTTGCTATCGCGGCTTTTCATGCACCATGTCTCCGCCCCGTAGAGGAATATGGGAAAGTCCAGTGCCCGCACCAAGCGCACTTTGGTTTTAAAGCGAATGAATAATTTGAATGTAGGCAAGTTCAAATTATGTTTTTTTTTAATCTCCAGATGCCCTTGCACAAATTTTCGCTTCGAAGCAACCAAAGGCTATATTTTGTCAGAACAGGAATCTTGTTAACGTAAAAAATGCACTGGAGTTTTATGAGTATGATATAAAATTACTTACCTTCGATGATAGTGATCATAAGGACGTTTTGACTTTTTCTGAATTGATGACCGGTTTTGGTAGCGATACATCGATCGGAAGCTTCAAGTGAGTAGATTTTATGTTTCTATTCTTGGCCTTTTGCGACCATAAGGCTCGGGCGACTTCAATTTCAGTCATAGTAATGATACTTACACCACACACTCAAACTTGTAAGAATCAGAATATGTGCTCGCCAAACTCACAGAGTTTTCTTAATTTGGCATCATTTTTAGGCCAACAGATTTTGATCCCGAAGAAACAGTTGCTTTGATAACTGAAACAAGTGGAACTACTGGAGCGCCAAAGGGCGCTGCTCTTACGCACAAAAATTTAGTCATATCAATTACTTCTGATTGGTAAGTATAATTTGACCGTTCAAGTTATTAAAAATTGTATCTAAAAGAGCAGAACTTTCAAAACAAGAAGTTATTTACATAGCAGTTTTCTGTTTTTTTATTCACTGTATAATTTTTGAAAAGCAGCTCTGGCTGGAGTTGGCAATTATAGTAATCGTGACGTAATTAAAAAGTGTTAGTTTGTGAAGGTCAAGGGGCGACCTGAGGGGGTGGAGGCCGCGCGGCGCGCTTCCAGCAGTTAGCGCGCTGCCGTGGAGTAAATAGAGCGACCGGTCGACGGTGTATCGCGTCCCGACCCGGCAGGCTGGTTCTGGTCCAGCGGGGTATTCCGGGACACCAGCAGCACCGTCTGGGCGGCCCGACGGGCTGCCGTACCGAGACGGCCGACATTTCAGAGCCTTCGATTCGCCTCGAAGGCTCCGTCGGCTGGGCGTCCTTGGGGTAAGCCACGCCATCTGGTTGTAGTGTTGATCGCGGTAACTCCCCTACCACACCCGGGTTCTGACCTCGGTGGGGATCGGACGTCGGGTGTAAGAGTGCAGGGGAGTCGTTTAGTGGGTGGTCCCTAAAATCCTTGGGCCCGCGGTCTGCTCACAACACCATGCAAATCGTAGTCTCACATACCTCGAAGGAGGTTCGGAACACTACCAAAAAAAAAAAAAATGTTTATATCTGACTCTTTCTATTGTTTATCAAAGCGTGTGAGTGTGTGTGTCCTAACATTGAGATTCGAAAACAAATTAGGGGCCCCTGTGTCTCCTGTTATTATTATTGATTGAAATTTCGACTTCGTTTTTTAGCATTTATGACTGCAATTACGTTTTAATGTCTACGAAGTTCATGCCGGGGGAATCTTGAGTTCGTCTACGGATCAGAAATTTCATAGATTGCATTTTGTAAATTAACTTAATATACTATTCCAGGAGAAACTTTGAAAGCTTCCCCACGCCTATAAAGTCGTTGTTAATAGTAACACCGCTGAATTGGATTTCAACTACCTTATATGTTTTGTCTTCGTCGATACTGAGATACAAAAGAATTCAATCATCAAAACCAACAACTAAAGAACACATTTGCGACCTTATTAATACATATTTTATAAGGTACTTAGTCTATAACTCACCTCTACTTTTGTTTTTCTTCTTATTATTAATTTTTGAAAATATTTTAAATACAGTTAATTAACAGACCTGATAACGGAACTCTTATTGTTTGTAGATAAACATTTGCATTTCATTAATAATGAAATAAAAATAAAAATCGATAAAAAATAAATTGAAAAGTTCTTATTTTTGATGTCTTTGAAGTTCCATAATGTGCCTATTATTATATTATTTTGTATGACCGTTGTAGGCTATCAAGAATACGACAATGTTGTTGAGTGGTCACAGTCGTTCATGGACATCAGCAAAACCAGAGGCACAGTTAAGCCGCTTCCTAAAATTGGGAATTCGTTTGGTCGATATTTATATTTTCATATTTACAGCCATCGTTCTTAAGCACAACGCCGCCCTTCATGTTAAAGCTTTTGGGAAACAAAGACAGATGCGACTTCAACAGCTTTGAAAATATCCGTCTCGGTGGTTGTGCTATAACAACAAACATTTTAGAGTACATAACGGTAAGTAAATTACATATTTTTGTTAAAACTTTAACATAAAATGACTCCTTATGCCTGGTAGTAGATATTTCTAGATACGGTTTCTTGGTTCGTTTGACGTTTGAAAGTTATATGAGCACTTAAGTCCCCTACAAAGATGACACCAACCTACGATCTTCCAAATCAATTCAAATCAAATCAAAATATTTATTCANTTTAGAGTACATAACGGTAAGTAAATTACATATTTTTGTTAAAACTTTAACATAAAATGACTCCTTATGCCTGGTAGTAGATATTTCTAGATACGGTTTCTTGGTTCGTTTGACGTTTGAAAGTTATATGAGCACTTAAGTCCCCTACAAAGATGACACCAACCTACGATCTTCCAAATCAATTCAAATCAAATCAAAATATTTATTCATGTAGGCGTTTTCAGAGAATCAAGTCTTCGACCGTTTGGGAGCTTTCGAAGGTTCGCTATTAACAAGAATCATCAAGAAACTATTTTCCATACGCTTGTGAAAAATAAAACAATTACAAAAAACTTTAAATAACAATTACGTTTAGATCTAATAATTGAAGAGCTTAAGGGGCTATTCCAACTACTCACCGACCGGTAGGTGAGCTCACGGGCTCAACCCGAAAGAATTGCTAACACTGACCTTAGCAAGATCAGGGCTTTGCTGAATCTACCACTGAATCGGTGAAGATCCTGAGAAAGATCCAGAAACTGAGAAGATCCGGCGAGAAACTCAGTGGGTTGTGTCTATGGACAAGTTTCCATTACTGAGCAATGGCCAGCGATCTGCTCAGTACTGTGGTCGTATGGACAACAGCTCTAAGTTAATCTCAGTTATAGTAGAATAAATATAACGGTCTAAAAACTGGCACAGCTGAATGTTTCGCTGCAGAAATATATCGAACGATGGTGTAACTCGAGAAGACTGAGAATGCCCTGAGAATACTTCTTACTGGTGGTAGGACCTCTTGTGAGTCCGCGCGGGTACTACCGCCCTGCCTCTTTCGTCGGCCGTGAAGCAGTAATGCGTTTCGGTTTGAAGGGTGGGGCAGCCGTTGTAACTATACTGAGATCTTTGAACTTATATCTCAAGGTGGGTGGCGCATTTACGTTGTAGATGTCGATGGGCTCCAGTAACCACTTCACATCAGGTGGGCTGTGAGCTCGTCCACCCATATAAGCAATAAAAAAAAAAGTCGATATTTCAACTATTCATGTTTTATTTTTTACTCACAGAAATCATTGCCACACGCAGAAATATCGCTTGGGTATGGACTCACTGAGGCTGGAGGGGGCCGTGTCTTTATGAATCGCTCGCATCCTCTTGGATCTATTGGACAACCCACTGGAACATTTAACTATCGCGTAAGTTGCTAGCTTAAAACTTTATACTTTATAACGAAATTTTACCTCATTCATTAACACTGTAGACATGATAAGTTGTATCTCTGTAGAAGGTAGGTTTTCTTGATTTATTTAAAGTAGACACCGATTCACTAGTAGGTACAAATGTAAAGACGAAAAACTACTAAGCATTTATTGTTACTTGGAGGACAGATCGGTCACCTGTACCGGACACGGTGGGATCGTGCACCGGTTCCCGGTCGTGCGCGGTGTTCCGCAGGGGTCGGTGCTCGGCCCCCTTTTGTGGAATATCGGGTATGACTGGGTACTGAGGGGTGCCCTCCTCCCGGGCCTAAGCGTAATCTGTTACGCAGACGACACGTTGGTCGTGGCCCGGGGGGGAGTTTTGCTGAGTCTGCCCGTCTTGCTACCGCTGGGGTGGCGCATGCCGTCGGCAAAATCAGGAGATTGGGCCTCGACGTGGCGCTCAGTAAATCCGAGGCCATGTGGTTCCACAGGCCCCGGAGAGTGCCACCTGTCGATGCCCATATCGTGGTTGGAGGCGTCCGGATTGGGGTCGGGGTGCAGTTGAAGTACCTCGGCCTCATTCTGGACAGTCGTTGGACCTTCCGTGCTCACTTTCAGCACNATCGCCCACAACGCGGTGCGGAGCCACGCCGGCGAACCGGTACCTCCCATATCTGGAAGGCCTTCCCCTGTAGCCGAAGCCGGGGACATGGCAACCCGCAGCCGGAAGACACCAAAGTGCCGCTGGCTCACCAGGCTCCCGAGAACCAACCCCTCATCCCCAGAATGGAACTCTTTGTCAGTGCAAAGGGCGTGGGGAGAAGGTCCCTCGCTCCCTCTCAAGGCATCCCCCGCAGAATGCGAAGGCGGCCGAAGAGAGCTGGGCGCAGTTCTCTTGGTCGCGGCGTCCCACACAGATTCCTCTGCACGCGATTTTAGGGACGCACGCTTAAGCCCCACCGCCACGACAAGGCGGAACTACATTCGGTGGGGGTGTGCAATCACTTAGGTGGATTTCGCAGTAAAAGTTTGTACGGTGAACGGGTTTTGGTCAATTTTTTGACGTTTCGCGCCAGCTAGAGGGTCGTGCCCTAAACTAATCTCAGTTATAGTAGAATAAATATACCGGTCTAAAAACTGGCACAGGTGAATGTTTCGCTGCAGAAATATATTGAACGTTGGTGAAATTCAAGAAAACTGAGATTGTCCTGAGAAATACCGTGTCGAAGATTTTCGTTTAGAGCAATCTACATAAAAAAAATTCACCTATTTATGTTGTATACCTATATATTTTTCACTCACAGAAATCATTGCCACACGCAGAAATATCGTTTGGGTACGGAATCACTGAGGCTGGAGGGGGCCGTGTCTTTATGAATCGTTCGCATCCTCTTGGATCTATTGGACAACCCGTTGGAATATTTAACTATCGCGTAAGTTGCTAGCTTAAAACTTTATAACGAAATTTTACCTCAATAATTAACACTGTAGACATAATAAGTTGTATCTCTGTAGAAGGTGGGTTTTCTTGATTTATTTAAAGCAGACACCGATTCATTAGTAGGTACCAATGTAAAGATGAAAAACTACTAAGCATTTATTGTGGTTATCCATTTGTTACAATCCCGGCCAGCTATTTTTTTTTTCTAGAATCCACTAGACATCGTGAATTCTCCCATTCACCCAGAGACATCAGTGTGCTCAGTGCAAGCATTTAACGTTCTCGATAGCGTAAAAGTTAACTCAAATTTGTATGGAGTTGGAACGTTTGACGCTAGGGGCGCTGTTCCAAATGCATACAAATTTGAGTTAACTTTTACGATATTGAGAATGATAAAAAACTCGCATTAAGCACACAGATCGAAGTCTTAATAATTATATAGTACAACGACTGAAACATGGAGAATAATGTCATACATCCTTATATCTATTTTGGAAATTAGTTGTTATTGAGGTGTTTAACATTTCCCAAATAATTCAAATTTTAATACTGCCATTTTTGTATTTGCCAGTTGATTGACGTCGAAACGCAAAAAGACATATTAGAGCCCAATGTACAGGGTGAATTATGGTTGAAGGGACCCTCCATATTTAAGGTAATGTAAGATGCTGAAGGTAAAAAATAAAAGTGAAGCCTGGCAATAGTAGAATTAGTTTTCTCTGAGCAGACAGAAAAATCCATGGAGTTTCATTTTTTTATTGCTTAGTTGGGTAGCCGAGCTCACAGCCTGTTGTTCTGTGGTCACCTGAGCCCAAAATCATCAACAAGATAAGTGCCACTACCCACGTTGGCATATTAGTTATAAGTCCCAGTTTTACAGTACAGCGGCTGCCCCACCCTGCACAGCAATTCATTCAACAATTCATTCGCGGCAGAAATAGGCAGGGTAGTGACGACTACCCATGCGGGCCCACAAAACCCCCTGGTGGTAGGGTAGTAACGTAATTACTCAAATCGCGGCGAACGTGCATTAAAAACTTAGTTCCTTACAATAATTAATAACTGGCTGCGAGATTTGAACACCGACAGTCGCATCACTTGATACGAGTACTTTTTCCCTACCTAATTGTGGGTAGCCTAAGGGCTATTCCAACTTCACCCGGACCAGTAGGTGAGCTCACGGGCTCAACTTGAGAGAATTGCTAACACTAGCCCTAGCAAGAGCAGTGCTACACTGAGTATACTACCGGATCGGAATCGCGACCCACTGAGAAAATCCGGCGAGAAACTCAGTGGGTTCTGTCTATGGGGTAATAACACGAGTACGCCGAACAGAGAAGACATTAATTTTGAAGTGAAAACTTCTTTAGAATCGTTGTGATTTCAAACCGGATGCAACGGAAAAAACGACAGGTAAGAGACACAAATACAAAAATGTGTAGGATGAAGACAGCAAAGAATGAGACAGAAATATACATACTATTTAATACAGCGCCATCTGTGAGATTTTTTAATACTAACGTGTGTATGAAAGCTCTTGTAGTGAATTTTAATTTAGGATTATACGTGAAATTAAAATATCAATTCACAGAGGGCGCTACCTTACAATTATTTACTAATGACAAAATTTTACATATACTTATGACGTTTAGGATAATTGTATTTTAATTTTGGAAGGTTTCACTTCTACCACGTGTGAATTGCACACATGTATTTTTTATTTTATTTTAATAGATAAAGATAGTCATATTACTATAATTTGAGAAATAAGATATTGCAAACTTGCATTTTATACTGTTCCTTTAAAAAAAATTACAGGAATATTACAACGACCCTAAGAGCACAAAGGAAGCATTTTCAGAAGATGGCTGGTTAAAAACTGGCGATATTATGTACTGGGATGAGCACTTTTATTTTTACTTTGTAGAGCGACTAAAGCTGTTGATTCATTACAAGAATCATCAGGTAAGAAATTCAGTTATTGTTTTGCAGATTCTTCAGTACTTCGAAAAAAGTAGTCGTGGGATTTTATAGAAGATAAGACAATGTGCTTGCCCACCTGTCCTGGTGAAACTGGAAAGGCTTGCGGACCATAAGTAATACTACAAAAAAAAATTTTGTTTTCCCCTACCTATGCTGATAGTCTTGAGAGGCTATTTCAGCTTCAGCCTAACGTGTAGGTGAGCTCACGGGGCTCAAACCGGAGTGTTGCTAACACTGGCCCTACCAAGAGCAGTGTTTCGCTGAATCTACCTCCGGATCGGAAACGCGACCCACTGAGAAGATCCGGCGAGAAACTCAGTGAGCTGTGTCTACGGGCTAATTCGCTCGTCAAGCCCTTCGTCGCAAGCGACGGGTTCGACAAGGACGGTGACCGGTTATATATATACTTACACAGACACAAACCGATTTCAAAAAAGCAGTTATTAATTCAATATTTACAGTTTTTGCACTTTTTCATTGTTATTACTACTAAACACACAGGGGTACGTACCACTATCCCACCTATATTTGCTACAAAGCAATAGTGCCTCCCGGTAATCATAGCTAATAGACTCCTGAATCATCATTCCGATTTAATCCATACTTAAAACTTACAAACACTTCATGCACCATACAAACACTAGCTTTGCGAGAATGGATCATAGCTTTATATTCTCAAAACAGCTACGAAGCACTCGTATCTCAAAAATGTAGCCATTTTAACAATTATACTAGTTGTCCCGCAGTAGCCGAAATTCGACTATAACTAATTGAAATTACAAGTTTGAACATTATTATGATTTATTGTTAAATTCTATAATCACAGAAAAATGTTAATAACGACAAACAATATTTAATCAATTCTCAATTTGACCAGACTATAAACAATAGGAAAAGTTTGACAGTAAACAAACATGCATGCGTGTGTGTCAAATACACGGTAGTATGTGTAATGTTTTTATTTATTGAGTTATTGTATTTTTTATGCATAATTAAAAAAATATGAGCATTCTGCGCTTCTTCTCTATATTCTTTATGTGTGAGAAATTTCATACTGCTCCGTCCGCACAATTTTCGTAAAAAGGGTCCAAAGTTTTTGCTTCACATATTAATATATAGATACATATTTATATGACATTCATTTACAGCCAGCTTTAACCGAGCATTTTTTTTGTAATAAAAAATAACTTATCAACTACCCTATTAGATATCACCGCTTGAAATAGAGGTCATTCGCCAGCATCCGGGTGTGTTGGACGTTATAGTCACCAGCATCACGGACGTCCAGCGCGAGGAGCTGCCGTGCGCTTGTGTCGTGCTTAAAGATGGACGTCGCGTCACCGAACAGGAAATCAAGGACTTGGTTCGAGGTAAGCATTGTAAAATTAATAAATCGATAGAGCACTTAGAGGTGTTTCACGAGCATTAATTCGTTGGGGTTGCTGGGGTTTGTGGATTTGTGGGCAACCATGCAAAAGAATTACCTTTTCTCCAAGGAATGACACTATACCCAATCCCAATAGATATCTCAATGCCCTACTTCGTCATTGGATCTCTTTCGTTCGCCACATAGTGACAGAATGATTTTTTTCTCCTACCGACGCCGAAGTTCGGTTTTCGTCCTGCTGTACATGGAAGAAAGTCTAACTTTTCCTCCCTGGGTACTGACAAGTGCGCATGCCCATTAGTGTCTACGTTTGCTCTCACGCACCTAAAATTCTCCGCCATTGTTGTGCTCGGGTAATTTGTATGTAATGTAATATTGTGTTTAGTGTAAAAGTGAAATAAACAAAATGCAATAAAATTTAATAGTGAAGTATTGAACAAAGATGAATGAGTTCATCAGACAGTTCTTATTCAATTAGTAGTAGTTTAAAGTTAGTTTAAAGTAGGTGGCAATTTTACACGTGGGAGGAAACGTCCAACATTTCTCCCTTGGTGCACAATGTACTATATTTCCGACGAAAAAAAACCTTATTACTGAGCATTTTATTTTGTGTGTGTTTATAGATTCGCTAACGGATCCAAAACAATTGAGAGGTGGCGTTTTTTTCTTAAAGGAAATGCCCATGAACCCACAACTGAAAATCGACAGAAGAAAAATAAAAGAATTCGTTATTAATTCATTAGGCACAAAAAAATAAGAAAAAATGTTACATATATAATACATACATGTCCCCTATATAAATGTATAAAAATATTAAATATGGTTTTTATTTTTTTGTGTTTTGAATATTGAAGGTACCGTAGTCGTTTCCAGCGATGTATTTTCGAATAATCCATATATATTTTAATTTTTTTTATTTCTTACGTGGGTGGACGAGATCAGGCTCCACCTGAGGTTAAGTGGTCACGGGAGCTCAGAAACATCAACAACGTAAATCCCGCCACCACCTTGAGATACGTGTTCCAAGTCTCAGTTTATCAGTACAACGGCTACCCCATCCTTCAAGTCGATAAGCATTACTACAGACTACTGCTTCACCACAGAAATAAGCGGGGTGGGGTAACTACTCGTGCGAACTCACCGTCCTACCACCAGTAATTACTTAAATTATAATCTTTACAGATTTGATTTTTATTACACGATGTTATTCCTTCAGCGTGGAAGTCAATCGTTAACATTTGTCAAGTACGTATTTATTTAGAAAAATTGGTACCCGCCCGCGGGATTCGAACATCGGCACAGTCGTATCGCTCGATACGAATTGACCAGGCGTCTTATACAGTAAGCCACGACGACTTCGAACTGATACCAGCGTAATTACTGGTATGAGTATCGTTACTCGCTGGGGTTCGGGATAAATAAAAAAATCTACCGAAGTACAAGTTAACACTGTATTTATCACTTATAACACTTTAAAATTCTTAATCCACTTCTTCTGCTTCGCTCTAGGTGATCCGTTCGCTGTTTCGCTTTGAGTAGTTCCGATTACTAACTGACTGCGTGCCATCTCTGCAACGCGTTTATATCCGATACGACATCCCTAGAATTATCGAGAATATTCCACACATTTCTAGTATTGTTTCCGTTATCTGACAATAGGTGGCGTTGTACTTTTCGAGCGTTCTAGGTGCTACTAGATCCTTCGATATTCGTTCGACTATTCGGCGATAGATGGCGTATAGCAGTATAAAACGATAGTTATTCTACTGCATTTGCTAATGTTGTTTGTTCTAATTGACTTCCGTTTATATTGAGTTTGCATCGTTGGTAAGTTAAACAGTAATAATAACAATTAAAAACAAATGCTATCAAAACACAAATATATTTCATTAACAAAAACAAGAGGCAAACACACCTCGTCAATACATGGGGATCCAACATTGATCCTAAACAAATACAATAAAACAACAAACACATTACCTACAATTCAATATTCAAAATCTACTTTGGTATGTCAAATCTTTATAACAGTATTGTAGTTCGATGTGTTTACATAACCGCGCAGAGTTCTTTTCTGGAGATTCTGAAAAAAAAAATAACAATAAATTAAAATTAAAAATTTAACCCACAGACACAGCCCACTGAGTTTCTCGCCGGATCTTCTAAGTGGGTCGCGTTTCCGATCCGGTGGTAGAATCTGCGAAGCACGGCTCTTGCTAGGGTTCGTGTTAGCAACGTCGTCAGGTTTGAGCCCCGTGAGCTCACCTACTAGTTAAGGTTACGCTGATATAGCCTGTCAAGGCTCTCAGTTTAGGTAGGAAAAAAAAATCAACAACAGCCCACAGTCGTCCACTGCTGGACATAGGCTTCTCCTAATCCACACCACTGAGCCCGGTCTACGGCTCTCCTCATCCCCTTCTTGCCGGCCACCGCTTGGAGGTTATCGCACCACCTAGCTAGGGGGCGTCCCACGTTACGTCTTCCGCTGCGCGGTCTCCACTCGAGCACTCGTCTGCTCCAGCGATCGCCAGTTCTACGGCATATATGGCCAGCCTACCGCCACTTCGGCTTGCTGACTCTTTGAGTATCGAAAGCATGGCGGACAGCTCCTCCGGTACAAAGATATCAGTGTCCTCAAAGGGAGCGCTTGGCAGCACAGCGACCAGAATGGTGCAGGATGGTGAACAGCAAAGGACGGGAGTTCGAGGATCAGCGTAATGCTGACCTTGATTACAAACGCGACCAGTAAAAGGCCCGCCCTCCTGTTGCCATCTATATTTATTATATAAATCTACAGTGATTTTTACGGATGTCCCGTTATAACTACTGAACCATGCATCCGATGACTTGAAACTTGGTATCCATGTAGAAAATACATGTAATTAATGGATAGGCTAATATTTATATGAGTGTTCGACTCCCTAAACCAGTTGCGGGGGCGTTAATGATGAGAATCTTTGTTGGGGTGAGAAATAATAATGTTAATTTTAAATGACCAGCGAAGCGGACGGGTACAGCTAGTAAGTAACCTATAATTATATGAACGGCGTGCTTACGTGCCCTCGATGTGCAATTTTAACAACTACAAACATCAATCATGACAAATTCAAGCTACAAAAATTATACCTTTTTAAATATATCAGCCATCAATAGATTCGTCTTTTTTATATTTTCTTTCTTCAATTTTTCCTTTTTTTCGACGACTTCGGCTAGAGACTTGTAAATTTTCTCAGAGTGCTTTTTCATTTCTTTTTCGCCTATGAATTTTGGGCCATCTGTAATTTTTTTTTTATTGCTTAGTTGGGTGGACGAGCTCACAGACCACCTGGTGTTAAGTGGTTACTGGAGCCTATAGACATCCACAACGTAAATGCGCCACCTACATTAAGATATAAGCTCTAAGGTCTCAAGTATAGTTACAACGGCTGCCCCACCCTTCAAACCGAAACGCATTACTGCTTTACGGCAGAAATAGGCAGGGTGATGGTACCCACCCGCGCGGACTCACAAGAGATCCATGTTCCACATACACACCCATATCAAGACTTGAGGTCCAAGTTTCAATCGCAAAGAGGCTGATCCACCATCCAAATCGGAACGCACAACGGTTTCTCATTAAAATATCCTGGCACCTGCCTACCATCTGCCGCCCTTTCTCCGATGAATCATCTCTTATTCTTCTTAGTCCCTACCAAATTCCGGGAAAGAGATGGGAGTTGTATACCATTGCCCTCTCACACCACGGCCAATTTTAAGTTTTTGAAGTGAAACTTCTAATGCGACTTCCAACAAGGTCGCGTTATACGTTTAACGCTACCATGGAATAGAAAGAGACAGCGAGAGTGAACAGGAATCCTCTGTATGGAGTCAAATGGAAGAAGCTGGTATTTGGGAGCCCCGGCCCAGAGATGGGAGCAGTACTCAACGCGAGGCCGGACTTGTGCTTTATAAAGCACATTTTTTATTATTATTTTTTCATTCACGTGCACCGAGTTGCACGCGCACCGTTTTTTTAGCATGACACGCTTTAAGGCTCTTCTTTTTTTTTTGTCCTACCTAAGCTGATAGCCTTGAGAGGCTATATCAGCGTCGCCTTAACTAGTATGTGAACTCACGGGGCTCAAACCTGATGACGTTGCCAACGCGAACCCTAGCAAGAGCCGTGCTTCGCAGAATCTACCACCGGATCGGAAACGCGACCCACTGAGAAGATCCGGCGAGAAACTCAGTGGGCTGTGTCTGAGGGTTAGAAACTCTTCAATATATTATTTCGTTCTTATTATTTTTAATACATATTTTTGTTTTTGTATACTTTATTTAATAAGCAAAATATAATATGAACTCGTCAGAGCACTTACGTTTTCTATTATTTGTGTCGACACCGATCTGTCTCGCAAGATGTCTTAGCTTGTTCATATCGAGGTTCGTCAGTGGCAATTGTTCCACGTGCATTGACAGCAGGTCTCGGTGGGTTGCTCGTTTATTTGCTCTGAAAATCGAAATGGTGTTTTGTTACAGACAACCAACAAATAGACATTTTTTACTGGTGGTAGGATCACTTGTGAGTCCGCGCGGGTAGGTACCACCACCCTGCCTATTTCTGCAGTGGAGCAGTAGTGCGTTTCGGTCTGAAGGGTGGCCGTTGTAACTATACTGTAACCTTAGAACTTATATCTCAAGGTGGGTGACGCATTTACGGTTGTAGATGTATATGGGCTCCAGTAACCACTTAACACCAGGTGGGCTGTGAGCCAACCACCTAAGCAATAAAAAAAAAACAACAACGTAAGTATCACCACCGATCTTGTGATACATGAGTTTGAAATCTCAATTTTCTTGTAAAACGGCTGACCCAAAGTGGTCTAATTAGTGACATAAATTAATGATGCCCATTCATGCAGGCTGTAAAATGAAGGGAAAATTATAAACCGATATGCAGCAGAAATATGGAGGGGATAAACGCTTATTCTATGCCGGAATGATCTGGAAATCATTTCTGAGTTCCTCTTTCCTAAGCATTATTATTATATACGTACTATAATTAAATACGTTTAACTTTAAAAACTTTTTGCGAATTAACTCACCAATTCTTGTTACTTCACTTTCAATGGTATTCGTGTTCATACAATGATCGGCAAATTGCATTTGATTACATGGCATTGGAACGGCTATAAAATTTAAGTAATTTGACTTAAGAGGAAAATTTAAAAAGAGCTTTTATTTGTACTTGGGTCGACACTTTGGCCTTTATACATTTTTATGTGTCACCATGAATAGAGCACGACCAACAATTGGCTTGGATTTAAAAAACCCATAAAAAAACCCGATTTCTTCTTCTAAAAGTGTACCGAATTTAATTTATAAATAAAGCTGAAATTTAATACAATTATATCCTCAAAAATCAATTACAGTCCATTTTTTTTTATAATAGCAAAATAATTTCTTACTGCCGAAGTCTTGGGACAATGAAGGACATGTTGTTAATTTAAAAAATATATATGTATATTAAAATTTGATTAATAATAAGGAATATAAAATGTTTAAAATATGTCGCCTAATTTACTTATTTTTTTTATCAAAATTTGTCATTAAAACATTGTACGCCTTACACGGGCATAAGCAGTGAAATTCCAACCACATTGGAAATAAGATTTTTGCCATCGCTGTCTCACAATACAAATATTACTTTGAAACGTTCTTAGGACTGAGAAATGAATAAAATGTGTTCATATTTTTATCAATAAAACTTCATTACACTACAAGAGAATTTAAAAATATCTAAATTTTATAACTATCCATCTACGAATGGATCTAAAAAGTCAAGACTAGGTATTTTTTAAATGCCAGAGCTATTATGTTTATTTTGGAAATACCTCCGCAATACATATTGCAGTTCGGTACAGTTCCGATGCATGTCGGATTGTGTACGACAACCATTTTCAAATTGGGAGGTACACCGCACGGATCTCGATTACTGAAGTAGACAAAAATGGTGAGTATCGCGAATAATATGAATTCAATTAATAACGACAATACATTATTAGATCATTACCTGGTTTCTCGTATCACTTTCAAGCAGTTCTGACGCTGCGAGGATTTCTCGACGAAGTCAGGTCGATTCAACTCCAAATATTCACGTACGGTACAAATCTGAGAGCGTCTCATCTGATCGTCCAAACTAGATATCTCGCTCTCATTCGGCAGGCTTCTAGATGTTTGCGTTTTAATATTACACCGGGGACTGCAGTCTGGGAGTCTCCTTTCGATTTTGGCCTCCATTTCTTTGAACGGGACATTACAGTTCCGACGCGACGGAACTTTGACCACGATGTTCTTGAGGGGACGACGTGTTCCATCGCACACTTCCTCGCTGACCATACTTTCGGATGTTTGTATAATGAGATTATAGGCAACGGATTTCTTATCGGCCTTGTCCGGTTTCGCTTTAGAGCGATGCCCTTTACATTTCACCCGACAGGAGCAATGGTGAGTGCGTCTGCATTGATCACAATTCGCCGAAGTGGTGCTGGAAACTTCACATTTTTTTACGGCACTGTGCGATTTGCAACGTTTCTGATGGAACTTTTCACATTCTTTTTTTATTTTGTTTAAGATTTTACAAGTGGCAGAATCAGATGAAGTTGCAGGTAAATCCGTCGAAGTGGGTAGTTCAGACGATTCAGTACTGAATATCCTTTTCTTCGATTTTTTCGAAGACAGTTGGATACCTCTGTCGACCACTTCTTTAGTCTGGCAATACTCCGAGACAGTTTCCGGTTTATTGCAACAAGGCTCCGATTTTGCTTCAGTAGTACAACTGTCGCTCGGTTTAACTTTTTCCCAATCGGTGGAATCATCTGTGTCTAACAAATAATTAAGAACAGTCATGATTTCTTTGAAGCATTTCTTGCGTTTGTTCTTCTCCATGTCGTCTTTTGAATAGCGCCTCGTGATGCTTCGGATCCTATCTAAAATTGGATCACTTCCATTTTGCCTATCGCTGGAACTGCTTGATTTTCGTGATTCGGATTTACCTTCACAGGACACTTCAACACTTTTTTTAGTACCACTAGAGTTGGAATCGAACTCTCTAGAAGATGTTTCTGGTATATACTGCGCTGATTTTTGCGCTTGATCTCTTTCAGCCATTTTTGGTTTATCGACGTTTCCGCATAAAGTACTGCATGTAGGTTTTGGTGCGTCCATATATTGTATTTCCTTCCCTTCAGAATTATCTTGAAAAGTATTTTTGTTTGTTTCCTTAGCTTCCTTATTATTTCGGTTTGGCGATCCACAGCATTGATCAGTAGATGTTTTGGCGAAGCTAATTATTTCAATCTCAGACTTTTCACCACTTAATTTTCTCTCAGTACTAGGCATACCCAATGGGACGCCTTGTTGAGTCGTTTTATCAGTTTTCATGATTTCTTCAGTTTGAATTTTTAGTGTTCCTGTGTCAGTGTTAGCTCGAAGGAATCTCCTTTGTCCAACTGGACTGCGTTTAGGGATAGTGTTGTAGTCACTTTTTCCCACCTCAATACAAGTGTTTGTATAGCATGACTTTTTCCAGCCCAAATCACTTATCTCATCAGTTACAGTGTTATTATCGGGGTGGGTTTCTTGACGTAAGTCATTTTTCTCTGACGTAAAAGCCTTGCTGTCGTACTGAATCCCTTTGCTGCATTCTTCGGTTAGTGATGTACATCTATCAGCAACATTGTTTCTCTCCGTAATAACGCTCTTGTGTACTTCAGGCATTTTGGTATTAAGAGAATTTGCATCATTAGCTCCAATGCTAACCATTAACGTCATATTTGTGCCTTGTATTGGTATCGTGAAGTTTTCTGAAGTTTTACCACTGTTCAGGACTTCGTCTTCAAGAGTGCCTTGCTTCAGTGTTCCCACGTTTTGCATCACTACATTTTCGGGTTCTTCAATTAAATTATTCGAACTATCTTCTGATGACATGTCATTACTATTCTTGAGAATATTTTCTGCTACATTGTCTTTTTTACAACGACCCATTTCAGTTTCAGAACTACGTCTAGAAACTTCTTTAATCTGTTCACCGATAAACTTCACACAATCTACATCGTTCACAATGTTTATGTCAGAGAGTGATGGGTCAGATATTTGGGGATTTATACTGATTTCCGTTTGAATACATCTTGTAGCTTCTTTAATTGCAATCTTGCGCCTATTTTCTGGAATTTGCATCACAATATTGTTTTCATTGGGATTTAGCTGGAGTGAGTTTACAGTGGCCCCGCTAGATTTTCGGCGCAGCATTTTTAGCAATAAGTTAGTCTGTGATGACTTTGAACTCTTTTTTAAATGCATATTTTCTGAACTACTGCTATCTGTAATCTCTTTGTTTTTATCTTCATTATAATAAAATATTTGTTTTGAAGATACTGGTTCATATTGAGTGTTATTGTCATTAGGGTAAAAGTTATTTTTGGACTTGGTTATATCAACTTGTGTCCTAGGCAACAAATCCCCTAATTGAACACCTTTATTGGCCAGACGTGAGCATTTATACACTAAAAAGTTATCTCTCATATCTCGAGATATACTTGGTTCATCACACAAACACACATACTTAATTTCCCCAGTCATATTATCTGGGATAATTCTTGCAAGATTCCGAGGAGATTCTTTTTTACATTTACATGACTCAGATGGAGATGTTTGTTTCTTCACTTTTTCAAGTTCAATATCTTTTAAATTAACTTGAACTGAACTATCAGTGACGCCAACTTTTAAGCCAGTCGAGTGGTGAGGACAACGGCAATAATGCTCATCTTTAGATAATTCCTTAATATCATTTTGGAGTTTTTTCTTTAAATTTGATTTTTTATTTTGACCTTCAGAAGTACCTGATGACAATGTGAATACAGAATGACTATGCTGACTCCGCACTGGAGCAGGTGCATCGAAACTAGCATTGGAATTAGGACTTCCTTCCAATTTACTGGCATCACCTGAACCATCATCATAGTTGTTTCGAGTCAAATCTTTCATCAAGTCTTTTAACCTGTTGTTTACTTTTAAATTTGTTTTGACAGATGCTTTGACTACAGATTCTGCACTGGTAAGTTTTTGTTTCAAAAATAGCTCTTTGTCTTTCAAATGCTTCTTATAAGCTTGTTCTCGTTTAAGAGCCTCCAAGTATTTTAGGTAAAGTTCTTCAGACGATGTTTTCGCAAAAGCGTCAGATGATGTTTTCTCACGACTAGATACATCAGAATCAGTATTTGAAGATGTTAACGTTCGAACCAGATTTGAGTTAATTTTGTCACTGGTTATTGCTGCAGGTAAATTGGGCGCACTTTGAGAAGTTGAAGCCAAAGCATTAGCATTAAATGAATCAATTCGTAATATGGAGTTCCTGGGTCGAGCCGCCTTCATTTGGTTCGAAGTTTTATTACTATCAGAATTACTAGATGTTGTATTGTTCTGTTCTCTAATATGAGCCTTTTTCCTATTCGAACTTAGACCAGACAAGAAATCGGTAGTACTCTCATCATCTCTATATTGTATGGTTAAGAGTCTTTTGATAATTTCTTTTATCAACTTTTTTTTTAAATCTTTATCCTCACAGTGTTGTTTGCATGTTGCTTTTAAAAGTTCAATACTTTTCTCTAGGTCCTTAGTGAAAGATAGTTTTGATATTTTACTCGAGTCTGTTGTTATACCACTTGATTCTAAGCTGGATTTGTTCTCAGTGTTTGTTGGTTTATTATGTTGAGCCTTCATCTGATTTTGATTGTAAATATGACCTGGCATGTATTCAAAACTTTCAGCTTCAGATAATTGCTCCCCACTTCTTTCTTGAGGTGGAGTCATTTCTTTTAAAGAATGTGCCCTTTTTTTAGTTTTTGATTTCTTTCTTACTAATTTTACTCTCCTACGGCGGTTGCGTCTTCTCAAAGAATTCAATCGAATTAAAACTGGTATTCGATGGTTTTGATGTAAGCTATGATTCTCGCTTTGACTTCCTTTTGTTTTATATAAAGATGTCTGAATTTCTTTGTCCAGTCTAGACTGAGGAGTTACTTTAGTTTCTACTGATACTCTTTCAGGAGATGTTTTATTATCATTTTTATAATCCTCAATATTGATAGCTCCATTAGTTGCAACACTAAATGAAATGTGTTTAGTCAAATTTACATTAATGCCTTGAGAAGTATTGGATACATGCGGAACATTAACCTCCACATAGTCAGTGTTCTTTTTTGTAAATTTGGTCTTTTTTCCTACCCCCTTTTTCAATTTTGTATTACTGTTTTCATCTATCGGCGTAGATTGTGCAGTAGGAGCGCCCATCTCATTTTTTGTATCATTATTTGAATATTGTTGTTTCAAAGCTAGCCTTTCCAATGTACTAAGACTTGATGCTGATGTTTTTCGGTCACTTTCATTGGCATATCCAACATCGGCAAGAGAATCCCATTCAAGTTTACGTTGTGATGTAACACTGCTTGTAGGTGAAAATGGTTTGTTCATTGATGTATCCAATAATACATCTAATGCTGTAACAAATTCAGTTCATATTGAATATGAAATATAGTAAAATACGAAAATCAAGTTATTTACATATACAGTTTTGTCATGGTAGTTTAAGTAATTATTTTAAGATGTAATTTAAAATATAATCATTTGTTGGGTAGGTGAAATCATGTCTTACATTTCTGTGACTGGTTATCATCAGATTTTTCCGATTCATCCTCCATGCTTCCAGAATGCTGCCTCGACATATTGTCCGACAGTTCTTCAATAATTATAGGAGGTGATACTGATTCTTTAGTTTTCGTGTTTTCATCCTAAAAACAAAAATTTTTATCGGATTAGCAGAATTCATGATTAATTGATAAAACAATATTATAATAATATTAAAATTTAAATAATAATACAGTCAAACCTGGGTAAGTGAGAACTGGATAAGTGAGAAAACTCTATAAGTGAGAGTAATAGCCAGGACCCGTCATTTTAAGCTCCCAAAACCTCTATTAGAGAGAAACAGAAACCTCTGTAAGAGAGAGTCGTTTTTCCCTCATGGACCTCCGTAAGTGAGACTGCTACTTATCTATACCTCTATAAATGACAGTCGAGCTTTATTTATTTATACTATTTAGGAGGAACGACTGAAAAAACTAATTACAAATTTAACATCTGCTATTTTATGACTCATTCTTAACTTTTCTGGAACTTCCTTCCATTGTTTTTGAATTAGTTTCTCGTCAATATTGAACCTATTCTATTTCGTGGAACTAAATAACGTTGTTATTTTATAGCATTCTTTTCAAATGGACACGTGTGCCTGTGTACCGTCCTGTTTGTCGGATTTACTCACTTTATCGTTAATCGATTGCGAAGGAAAGTTCTGTTCTGCATCATGTCAAAACGGAAAATTAAAGTACTGTCATTAAGTGATAAACTTAAAATAGTGAATGCGGTTTAATCCGGAAAATCGCGAAATGAAATTCAGAGGGTGCATTAGCGAGAAACTCGGGTTAGTGAGAAACCTCTATAAGCGAGAATGAGATTGTGCTCCCTTAAACTCTCTCTTATCCAGGTTTGACTGTATATATTAAAATATTGTTTTTGTTTGATAATCTGAAATTATCTTCTTCATGTGGTGGTAGGACCTCTTGTGAGTCGGCACGGGTAGGTACCACCACCCCGCCTATTTCTGCCGTGAAGCAGTAATGCGTTTCGGTTTGAAGGGTGGGGTAGCCGTTGTAACTATACTGAGACCTTAGAACTTAATCTCGAGGTGGGTGGCGCATTTACATTGTATGTCTATGGGCTCCAATGGCGGATCCAGGGGGGGGGGGGGNTAGATGGACCACTGATTGAATATACCTAATGATTTTATTTATACATATATTTTGTCACCATACAGATTTTATGTAACTACATACCTTCAATATTTAATTAATTTAATATAATATAATAACTTTGTATAATGGCAAACGTTTGGGAACGAACGCATCTAAATTTGACTATGTGACCCCCTCCTGGCGCCAAAGTTGGATCCGCCCTTGATGGGCTCCAGTAACCACTTAACACCAGGTGGGCTGTGAGCTCGTCCACCCATCTAAGCAATAAAAAAAAAATGTAATTCATGTAGGTAACACTATTAAATTTATGAAGCAGGGAAAGCATTAACATAAATATAAAGTTGACAATTTATTCTTTACATTTCAGGTTCTTATTATTATTATTAACACCCAGATATACAAAATGTAATGGAGGAAAAATAGATATTTTGTGGCTTACAATTTTGCTTTAAAATAGCTAGTTGTTGTCTCTCAATACATTTTGCATGTTATGCAACAAATTTTAGATATAACTCTAAATAAATGCACCAATGAAGTAAGATTACAATGAATTGTTTTTGGAATTATAGTTAGTACATAACAGTCATATTTTTTTCTTACACAAAGGTACCTCTATAATTATTACTTTAAGATGCTATTGACACTGATTACATAACAATGTTATCTAGAAATCACAGTTGATTGTTATGTTAAAACTTTGCATCTTTACAATAAAAAGGACAGTTTCTTCACGAGGTTTATTGTAGTTCCAATTTTACAAGGTATCTATAATCACTGAATACAAAATGTACTCTTAGTTCAGACAATGAAAAGAACTGACTTTTTATTAGATAAAATTGTAACATCATTCAAAAAAACTCTTTTTAGTGCAAATACGTTTTTTGTTTTAATGCCACTTACTTGGGAACTAGAAGGCTCCGGGATCGAACATTGTATCGATATTCGACATACTTCTTGTGAGGATTCACTTCTTTTCCCGCCAGAATCCGAGGAGTCACTATGTGATTTAATCTGTTTCCAAAAGATCCCTGTTGGATCTCTAGCATCCCCTTGAGCTGTAGATAGAGAAAAATATTGCTCTAAGTCCCGCTTCTTGCCAAACTTTTTGTAATAGTTCAAAATTGTTGGATTTAACGCTGATAGATTAACACCTGAGCCATCATCATCGTCCATATTGATATATGTATTTAAATAGAAATGTAATTATGACACAAGAACCATAATTTTATTGTGCACATATTAAAAACAAAACAAAATCCAAACTTTTTCAAAACGTTTGACGTATCAAATATTGACGTTTACAAAAACGGAAGAAACCGTTACATTATGAATTTGTAATCAATGGTTTGTAGATAATCCTAAACATAATTACTTAATTAAATAATAATAATAATAAAAATGTTAAAATTTGTAAAAATGTTTGGATGTTTGTTACTCAATCACGCGTACCGTAAAATGGGGTAAATAGGGACAAAATCTACCTTCAGATTGAATTTTAAAATAGTTCCAATTAAATAGTCACTGCTCAACCAAAGAAATAAGTTGAGTCTTGAACGTACCTAGGTGATAAAAACCGTTACATTATTTTAATTATTCAATTTAAAGAAATAATCGAAAAAATAATGGCCATCCCAATTTACCCCGCATTCGGGGTAAATTGACACGGGTAAGGGTTAAATTGGGATATTTGTAAGGGTTGTCAGTTCGCGGTACTGCGATATATAGGTAGGTAGATAGGTGCCATACAATTATTTATATGGACCGAAATGATGAATACAATCCATAATTTAAGCATAATACACAACATAGTGTAAATTAAGCTGGTTTCTATTCCGAAGCGATGTGACGTGAATGATAATCAACAATACAATGATCAAAAAAAGTATATGCATGTTATATTTTAGAAAATTATTATTTAATTTCCTTAAAAATCACAACTCTGAAACAAAATGATAAAATAGAATAAAAAATAGAAAACAAAAGGACTGGAAATGCAATAATACAATTTTATTTAATCAACATTTTCAAAATAGTCTTTGAGCAAGAGTAAGATATCAGGTGAATAAGATAAAAAAGCAGATTTATCTGATTACAGCCTATAATAACAAAAATAAAAGCAATTCTTTCTAAGCTAAATAACTAAACTCAATTAATTCACTCACTCATAATTGGAACCTAGATATCTCGGATTTTTAATTAATGTTACATTTAAAATCTGAGGCCTGTTTTTATTTGTGTGTGCGTTGTGAATGTTAAAAAAATCATGATTAGACGCGTGAATAGATTCTGAAATAACAAAAGTTTTGATTCGTTTGAGTTCTTTTTAATTTTTAATTTTATTTTATTGCTATAAAGGACATACGACCGGGCAGATATTACAAGGTAAATGTCGCGAAAAAATGTAATTATATATATACACTTTTCTTTTACCTATAGTACTTACATAAACTAACTGATAAACACATTAACCTTCTTTACATCACGCAATTGAGTGAAAGTATAGGCTAAAAAATCTATTATAAGATATCAGTGACAGCCCTAACAAACCATCCCTATTTTGTCTTTTGGCGTTCCAATTTTTTGTTTTCTCGTCCCTAATTTTTCCAGTCTCGTTCCAAATTACTCTACATACGTCCCAATTTTCCCCAAAAAGAAAGGAAAAAATATACATTTTTTATTTTGTCGAAATATTGTATTTAAAATAAGAATATTGCAACTTACCGTTTGTTGTGGTATTTCCAGGTGTATTAAAAACTTATATAAACTGTGATCTTATTGAAAAAACAACGATAATATTACTTTTTTTAAAAGTTCTTTAAGTTGTTTTAAAACGCTCTTTTCAACCACTATTTTCAATTTAATTTGACGAATTTTTGGGACCAACTTAACTCATATTTAGTACTTCCATAGTTAACTTGGTTTTTCTTCTATACATTGATAAATATTAACATAAACAAAATTAGGTAGATTCCGTGCTACAGGTACTTTGAGAATCTTCTGCAGGTTTGTCCCAATTTACCCCATGTCATGGTAACTACAGCTCCTTAGCTGTGCCATACTTAGTAAAACAATCGAATGGGGCTCAAAAATATGTGGTGAGTAACCGACCAAACTAAAAACAATGCTTTTTAAACTTGATTGAAGCTAATAATGCTTGATTCTGCGTAGCAGTTTGCTGAAAGTGAAGTATTTTTTGACGTCACGTCAAGTGGCCCCGGGAGTCCATAGACATCATTAACGTAAATGCTACCAGTTACCACTCACCATGAAACATGAGTTCTAAGGTCTTATTTTTTACAGTACAACAGTTGCCCTTTCAAACCGAAACGCAATACTGCTTCACAGCAGAACTAAGCGAGTTGGTGGCTATCTACTTGTGTGAACTCACAAGATGTCCTACCTCCATTAAATAAATATATTAAATAACAATTAATTAGTAAGCTGGACATAATGTCATCGCAAGTAGCCTTATCGCATGTCTTAATTTATTTCCCTAATCAAATTAATTTCATTCAATATTTCACTTTTCCTACAATCGTTTCGCCTTTTTTTTTAAAAAATCAAAATGGTCTACTTTCCCATTGCTTCTCTTACGAACGAACCTAACTGGATTGTCAAAATGACATTCCTGATAACATGTAGGTACCTACGTCATTAAACAAAATATCGTAAATAAGATTGAGTAAAGTTAGATTTGGGGGCGTACCTAGGTTATGAGTAAGTTCTTTGAGAACTTTACGAAACTGTAACGAAAGCTTTACAAATTCTTCAACACATTTCTACAAAATGTCTCGGCAAACTTCTAGATTGGACGCCAAGAAAGTTGTACGTATATAAAACCTATGTGCTTGTATATTTAAAATATATTAATTGAAGTCATCGTGGCCTAATGGTCCGGTGTATCTGTTCTTGCTAGGGCTACTCACCCATTTAAGCAATAAACTTAATCAACGGTTGCGGTTTATACAGCTTTAAACATTTTTTTTAGAATTCCGAGCTCCTAACTCTTACATATGGGGCTTTAGTGTCTCAAATGCTGAAAGAAACAGAAAACACTGAAGATGTAAACAAACATCTCGAGAGAATCGGATACAACATGGGCGTTAGACTGATAGAGGACTTCCTGGCCCGGACAACGTCTACTCGCTGCTTAGAAATGAGAGAAACTGCTGATAAAATACAGCAGGCCTTCAAGTAAGTGTTTTCAAAGAAATTGATGATTTTCATTTCAGAAAAGTTAAGAAGAATATACAATGGAATACAGTTGGAAATTACATTGAAAAAAAAACATAACTTTTAATTAACATACAGATTGGTACTATTTACATGAGGATAGAAACAAGACTGATGGATATTGTGGTAGGGGCATGTTATGCCAAAAATGATGACCAAGTGGCCAAACCACCCAGGGTATGAAAGTAAATGGTAATGGGAAGAGGTAGTGTGTTATAACGGGAGAAAAGGGGTGGTTAGTTCTACACAAACAAGATTAGATGTTATGAATCATGTCAAAGTAACCAGATTTTCATAAATAATAGAAACAAATGTTTAATAATATGCCATTTGTGTTGTAAGAACAATGTAGAGAATTCAAAATATCCTACACTTAATTTTTGAAAATGTTAGATGAATCAGTTAAACTGTTTCAACCATGTTCATGATTCTCAAAATTGAAATTCCAAAACCTTATTCAGCCTTCATAAATTTTGTCAATTATTTATAGGACATATAAATAGCTAAATAAGTGTACCACACACCTTTTTAAGGAAGCATCATATAAATGAGGAAATCCTGGGAAGATATTTTCAGTTTAGCCTTGGAAAAATTAAGCAAATCTCATTTCAGTATTGTTAATATGCAAGCAGTGATATGCCACACAATACCACAAAAGCAAAATGTTAATCTATAAAATACTAATTTGTTAGAAGAAAAATCTATTTTCTTTTAATGTCTGTTAGGCAGACGATTATATGATCCTTGCTAATGGTGAGTAGTCACCACCGATCATGGACGTTAGCAATGACAGGGGAACAGCCTAGTGGCTGGCCACTGCTTGAACTATGGAATACTTCCTTGTCTATATTTGACTGACTCAGTGGTGCATTAGTTAGCGGCCCTGAAAGCTGAGGGTCATGGGTTCAATTCCCACATTGGGCAAACATTGATGTGATGAGCAGGTTTGTTTGATCTTTGTCTGGGGGTTTATTATTACATGTGTATATTTATAAAGATACTCTTGTATAAGTATGTTTATCAGTTTCCGGTATCCATAACACAGGGAATCCTAAATTGGACTGGGATGACCGTGCATGATATTTTCGCAGCTATTATTATTATATTTACAAGACAAATAATTTCAGACTATACCTTAGCATGCAGCCGACAGTAACAAGTTGGAGTAGTGCCGGAGATGAGTTTTCGCTTGTTTGGGACCACTGTCCACTCAGTGAATGGGTGGAGATGCCAAGTAACAACGGGCTTAAATATTGCGCTTTGATTCCCGGTGCAATCAGAGGTGCTCTACAGATGGTACAACTAGATGTACAATGCTGGTTTGTGCAGGTAGACTAAAAAATATTTTATTATCATCAAACAGAAAACGCTTTAAACTTGTGTTAAAGGGTCCAAAAGATAAAATATCTTGTTATGAGTCTGCTGACTCAAAATATATTCAAAGGAGCAAAAAACTGGCTCTTGAAATTATTCACCATCATATTCTTTTTTTTGTAACAAAAACAGACAAACAAATCCACAGAACACCTGTTGGTAAGCGGTTACCAGAATCCACAGATATAATTGTGTAAAATAAAGAACCCAGCCTTAGACAAGAGTTCGACTTAGACACCAAGTCCAAGTTTTTTGTGGCTCTCGATGAAGTCATGTTTCAAGACTAGATTTTATTTGAGACGAATCATAATTCCAAAATCTTGAAATTAAATTGTGACTAACTCGATGATTTCTAAATCCTGAAACAATTTAGTTGTGAGAAGACGGCTAAGGAGCCAGTGGATGGCATCTCCATATGGTTTGTTTCAAAACTAGGAAATAGGAGGAGTCAATAAATTTAGGAAGGAAAATAATATGAATCTCCTGAGTAGCTCCCTCAATCAGTTTTTCTAGCTAAACTAAACTTCTAACTAAACTAAAGCTATTAACTATTACATACTGTCTTAAAAATTTCAGGATCAGTTGAAAGGTGATCCCGTGACAGAATTAAGAGTGAAATACTTGAAGAGATTAGAAGATGCCGTACCAGCCGGTGAAGATTAGTCTTCATAAATAAATAAACTAGATATTTACATTTGATTTCATATTTTGCTAAAGGCTGCTAGGAAAACATAAAAAGAGCCACTGATTATAGGAATCGGTCATATTAGAAAATGGAAGTTTGTAGGTAGTAAATATTGTTGATTGAATTCAGTATTTGTATAAAAATACAAAAGTACCCTGCAATATATCCTCAGCCTTTTTCTTTAAGTATTGTCGTATGAATTTTTTATGTGGAATCACATATTTTCATCTCAACAATACTGTTTATATTATGGAGCGTAAATGACGCGTTATTGTACCTCCTCCTCCTTGCGTCGGTTTCCTCATTACTGAGGGTCGTGGTCATGGCCTTGAAACAGTTTAAATGTTTTTCTGTTTGCCGTGAAGGACTAAATTCCTTCGAAATACTGATGTGGAAGGACGTGGGAACCCACCACAATTACATCCCAAGAGAGTAATGGACAGAGAAACAGTTATTGTACCTAGTGCAGGTATAAAGTGCTGCTATGAACTTAAATTGAATATGCAATTTCGAAAAGGGCACATGTCGCATATTTTGTCAAATACGTTTTTTCATATACATGTAGTTTTGAGGCTTACCTACACCCATTTTATAATAATTCCAGTAATTTTCAATTGCTAATTAACACTAAAATAAATATTATATCTCAAAAGTTAATATTTTAAATTTTACACTGCTTTAGAAAATAATCAGCTTTTTTCATTTCCTGAACATTTTACATTTTCAGAGATGTCGCCTTTTTGAAATTGCATATTCAATTGATTTTTGTAATAATCCAAGCGTACGTATATCTCGTTTTGACAAGGAAACTGGCAATTGTACCCGAGCTCCCTCACTACCTTAAACTCCGCGCGTCGACTTTGAGTTTGCTATACATTACCTGCTAGACATAACGCATTCGTAAATTTTAATTTAATTTTTTTCCATCAACAGTTCAATACGTGTTTCTTTTTTATGGAACGACTCACAAACCGAATGCATCCATTTTCATGCTTTTAAATAATAAAAATGAAACTGGTAAAAATGATGCGTAAATAGTGATTCTAGAGTTCTTTTTTATTTTTTTATTGCTTAGTTGGGTAGACGAGCTCACAGCCCACCTGGTGTTAAGTGGTTACTGGAGCCCATAAACATATACAACGTAAATGCACCACCCATCTTGAGATATGAGTTCTAAGGTTTCAGTATAGTTACAACGGCTGCCCCACCCTTCAAACCGAAACGAAAAAAAATTACTTCTTCACGGCAAAAATAGGCGGGGTAGTGGTACCCACTCGTGCGGACTTACGAGAGGTCCTACCAATGTAAGCCCGCATGGGTAAGCATTGTTATCTTATTTCTGGCACGAAGCAGTGATACATTCGAATTTAAATAGTGTGCAGCCGTTATAAGTGAGGCTATGCTTTTATATATCAATGCGGGTATTGGTATTTAGTGTCGATTTCTATAGGCTATGTTAACCATTTCAGTCACACAACGCACTGGAGTGATCGGTTGGGAATTAATTTTTATATCAAAATCACTTGAGGCTGACGGGGAGATGCGAGATTGTGTGAATTGTTTTATTTTGTTAATGTTAGTGTTTCATCAGGCTTAAATGTGTAATAACGGTGGTTTAATAACTGTTTAGCGTCGGTGTATATGCAGATATGAGTGAAAATGAAACAAAGTCGCTGGACGTGGCTTCTTGAGCCATCAAGTCCACTGGAGTCAGTAAATGACCACAATTTTGTTCCATTTCATTTCATACCAATTGACAAGAGTTAAATAAATCTATGTCATCTCATTTCATCCATATCAGTTTTCGTTCCTTAATATTTCTTATTAATAGAATGCATAAAAGATTAGGTTGCATTAGATTAGATACCTTTGCCTTTCCTGTTAGCAGACCGTTTATTATTTAGAGGTACGGTACTGATTTGGTTTCCGGAATAATGCGGAATGTTTAACTTTGCACTAGTTTTATGTTGTAGGAAAATATTGTAGTTTTAAATAATCTACTGATTTTAAAACGTATTATAAATTATTTTATATTATGCAAAATAAAGTCTTCGGTGAGACTATTAAAGTGGTTTTTCTGATAAAATCATTGTGGAAAAGCAGATACTATGAAAATATGTTTTATTTAATGTAAATGCGCCAATTTTTTTTTAAGTTCTTTATTAAAATTTACGGTGAACCGTTAATGCGTTTTATTATTTTTCTATAATTATAGGGTCTGTTTTAATTTATTTGTACACTATTATTGGCGCGCAGCAGACGTGTTTCCGTTTTCCGGACCATGGAGACAAAACAACGAAGGGTGAAAGACTATTTGGTTTTAGCAACATTTTTGGAACTTTACACGAGAGCCATTGCCTTGAGATGTTAAGTGGAAATTTTCATTGCAAAGTAAGGCTGTCCAAACCTTCAAACCAAGCTGTAGTCTTTTTATTCGTATCACTTACAATGCTAAACGATCTCACGGCCCACCTGATGTGAAGACATCGACAACGTGTATACCGCCACTCACCTTGAGTTGACTCCAAAATCTCAGTGTGCTTAGTTCGAGTTTTTTAACGTTCTCGACAGCGTTATCTGAAATTTGTATGCAGTTGGTACAGCGCCTCTAGCGGCAAACGTAGGCGAACGTTCCAAGTCCATACAAATTTGAGTTAACTTTTACGCTACCGAGAGCGTTAAAAATCTCGCACTAAACACAGTGTTCTATAGTACAACGGGTGCCACTCTGAAATAGGCCGGCGTGCGGGCTCACAAATCACCTTGCCGCCAGTAATTACGCAAACTTTTTTTGGATTCGATATTTATTACACGATGTTATTCCTTCATCCGGCGTCTCGTGCTTTAGGCTACGATTCCTCCAAAAACACAAACTGTGTAACCGTTTTGGAGTAGAACTATAGTAGATATTTTGTCGCTGCAGTTTGGGTCATAAAACATAGCCCGGCTAGGGCGGTGAGCATGTTGCGCGGGCGCAACGCCATTATCGATAAAAACAAATGAGTCATCGAAGGCAGGTACATGGCGGCGGGGTGGTATACGAAGGGTGGTGAGACATTGTTATGTTATAGTCATTTGTCATAGGTACCTGCAAGTTATAGTACATTATGTCGAAGAGAAATGTGTTTTTATGCATTTGTTCTGTGAATTTCTTTAGTGACACAATGACTACTCTTTTGTTTTGTATCAAAACGGCAGAATTTATTCAAAATAATATTTGCACGTGTTGTTATCAACAATGTGTTTAAAATTTTCACTGAAATAAGAATAAATCCCGAAAAGTTACAAAGTGTTAATTTCTGCCGTTCTCGTTAATTTGCTGCGGCGATATGTGGTATAAATGTTCGATTAGTGATTTTTCTTTCATTTTTATCACTAACCCATAAAATGAAAAAACTAAATACACTATCGATAACGCTTATCGACAACAATAACGCGCTTCACTATGCCCGTCCATAAGGCTCGCTAGTGGAAGAGAGAGGAAAATACTCGCTTCACCGCTCCGATTTTTTATGACCCAAACTGCAGCGACAAAATAATTCTACTATAGACGATATGAAGATCTGACGAAGATCTACGAGTGCGTAGCAGCATTCTAACCCAGAGATACAGCCCGCTGAGTTTCTCGCCGGATCTTCTTACTGGGTCGCGATTCCGATCCAGTGGTAGATTCTGCAAAGCACTGCTCTTGCTAGGGCTTGCGTTGGGAAATTTTCTCAGGTTGAGCCCGTGAGCTCACCTATCCATCCGGACGTAGCCGGATTAGCCTCTTAGGCTACCAGTGAATAGTATAAATGCGCCACCCACCTTGAGATATAAGTTTTAAGGTCTCAGTATAGTTACAACGGCTGCCCCACCCTTCAAACCGAAACGCATTACTGCTTCACGGCAGAACTAGGCGGGGTGGTGGTACCTACCCGTGCGGACTCACAAGAGGTTCTATCATCAGTAATTACGCAAATTATAATTTTGCGTGTTTAATGTTTATTACACGATGTTATTCCTTCACCGTGGAAGTCAATCGTGAACATTTGTTGAATACATACATATTTCATTAGAAAAATTGGTACCCGGCTGAGATTTGACTGGTGCACCGCTCAACACGAATGCACAGGATGTCTTATCCATTAGGCCACGACGACTAAATAACCACTGATACCTTGGGGGCATCAATTAATTACGTGAGGTAATTACGTCGAGGGGATGAGGGGATCAAGCTAAATCTCACTTAGCGTTTTTACCAAATATCACGCAGTTTTTTTTCTAGTTGAAAATGAAGAACTGTGTAAAATTACGTGAAAAAATATTTTTAGAATAAAATACGGCCAAATCTGACACAATAGTGTTTGTCGACTGTCGTATTCGTTCGAACCCCGCAGAGAAGCAAAGTAGCGCTCGATTGTTTAAGCGCTATCGACCAGCTGTATCGACACGTGCGACTCGACGAACGTCGCAACGTAAACGTTGTTACTAGCCTTTGCTAGGGTTCAATAAAAGTAATAGAACAAATTGTATTTTTTTCTTTCAATAATCCAACACTTTTGCAGCCATTTTGAAGATTCTCGCGTGAGATTATGGGGGAAAATCTTGCGAAATCTCATCAAGGGGGGTTGGGGGGATTCAAAAATTCTCAAAAATGCTGCACGTATTTAATGGACCTTTAAGATTTAGAAGATATTTCATTTTCTCTATTGTTTCGTTATTCTTGATTTTCCTTGGAAACTGACAATCCTAAAGCTTCATATACTTCAAGGAAATCGGTTTACATTGAAATAAAGGAGAAAAGATAATTGTTTTATCTTGACTTATTTATTTATGGATGTGGATAATATGAGTGGCAGATATTAATAAAATTATACTTCGGAAATGATTTCTGCCAGCTATCATGGTTCTGACCCAGACCTCATCTCCTCGCTGTTTCTTGAACGCTATAACATGTCCTTAAAATGAAGTTTTCGACGAGTTTTCAATGGCTTGGCTCTGGCTATGCTTAAGTTTGCCACTGTCACCAAATACCAAATGACAAGCCGTTTCCTGCCTATAAAAAAATATTTTTAAGTCGTCGTGGCCTAAGGGATAAGACGTCCGGTGCATTCGTGTTGAGAGATGCACCTGTGTTCGAATCCCAGGCGGGTACCAATTTTTCTAATGAATTACGTACTCAACAAATGTTCACGATTGACTTCCACGGTGAAGGAATAACATCGTGTAATAGTGAAACCCGCAAAATTATAATTTGCGTAATTACTGGTGGTAGGATCTCTTGTGAGTCCGCACGGGTAGGTACCAC